TCTCTCTCTCTCTCTCTCTCTCTCTCTCTCTCTCTCTCACACACACACACACACACACACACACACACACACACACACACACACACACATACACATGCACATACATTCTCCTGTCTATTGATGGGGCGTGACCACCTGCTGGAAACTGGGTCCAGCGTCCCATGAACATCGTGAATAAGGCATCAACCGAGACCCCACGTACACTCTCTCTTCGAGTTGTGTATAGCGAACATGACAAAACATACATACAACTTATTCACTACCTTACCCTTCCCGAACCACAAAACCAAACGAACTACGGGCTGCGCACCCGTGCCCTCACGGTAAGTCAATGCCCCTGAGAAATTTCGTCGTCGTCACCAAATGGTGCGGTAGTTGGAAGGGTGGTGGGTCCAATTCGTGGGAAATAGGCAGTTTTCGCTGTTGGAGGACCGGTAGCTGGCCGCAGGAGGTCGGGGAGGTCGGATCCTCAAAAGTTTTTGCTGTTGGAGGACCGGTAGCTGCCCGCAGGAGGTCGGGGAGGCCGGGTCCTGAAAATTGGCATTCCGCTGAGTTAGGGCGGGTTTTTAGGGGGGGCGCCGACTGGAAGGTGCAGGCGGATCCAATCTTGCAATTTTCGAGCGCCAACTTTGGCGATTTTTCGTACGCAGAATAATTGGAGAATGAAAATTTAATATCGGGTAGGCCAGGTCGTGATCTTTCCAGGAAAGATATCAACAAAATAAAATAAAATCGTTTAGACCATGAAATAAATGCCGCGCCAATTCGTCACTTTTTCCATTTTTGGCACACGACAACTTGTGGGCCAACGGGAAAAGTACCCCTATTTCGAAGATTTTTCACGCTCAGAAGAACTCATAAATAAGTCTGAAAATTTGAGGATCCGTAGATTTGGTCATGATCTTTTCAGGAAAAATGTTTAAATTTTTTTTTAAAACTGTCTCAACCGCAAAATAGCTTATAGCGCAAATTCATCCCATTTTCCATATTCACCACTCTGTCGGTTCTCCACTTTGTGCTACTAGTAGCCCTCATGGACATGTGCTACCGGTCCCCCGAATTTCCAACGTCGGGTAGAGTGGTGGTTTGAATTCAAAGCCTGTTGTGGTCGAAATCGAAACAGGCCAAAAGCAGCGGCGGCCGCTCCCGTTCCCTCTGCGTTCACAAAGTGATAGTCTCCCTGTGTGCGCCGGGAGCGTGGTGCCTTATCGTTCGAGGCGTTCTGACAAAGTGGCGCCGCGCCTGATTTTTTTATTTCTCTCTCTTTCTCTCTCTCTCTCACACACACACACACACACACACACACACACACACACACACACACACACACACACACACACACACACACACA